GAAATTGTTTCATATAATACTTTTTTTGATGAAGTTGTTTCATATGTGGTTATGAAATTATTTCATATACTACTTAATGAAATTTTAATGAAACTGTTTCATATATTTCTCTAAAATTAAAATAATGAAGATGATAATATCCATGATTAACACCCTTCACAATAAAAATGGTTAATCAAACTCTCATAATTACAAAAAAATGAACAAAATGAAAAATTATGATTGGTTGAATGAGGTTTTCACGGTTTTTTACAAATTGAGTGGTTTTTATTTGAACCCACCTCTATATATATATATATATTAATTAATAAATTATATATATATATTATTTATTTCAACTAAAATGCTAGTTCATAATTTTCTATTTTCTAACTAGGTTTATAATCTAAAATTGTTATTTTTTGGATGTTAATATGTAATATTTTGGATGTCAAGTCAAAATGCAATTACTCGATAAGTTTTGTATATTACTCAATATATTTTGGTACATGTGACTTAAGTTTTTTTGGATTTAATTGATTTTTTTTTGTTTTAGGTTATTAGCTCTTATATGATGTTGTGATTTTTTTTTGTATTAAATTAAGTTCATTTTGGTTTTAGTTTTATTAAAAATGTTTGAGATTTAAACATGTATAGCATTTCACATATTTAATTTAAAATAACTTATATAAACGGTAAAAAAAATCCCCGGTTCCCCATTGGGGATCCCGTTCCCCGTTGGGGATGGGGATGTGATTATATTCCCCGGCAGGGATGAGGACGAGGACGGGGATGTGATTATATTCCCCGACAGGGATGGGAACGGGGATTGAGGTCCCCGCCCTATTCCCATGCCTAATCAAGGAAACATGTATTTTGAGATAAGAATGACATATCAATGAGAGATGTATACCCCTAGCTCTTCATATTTCCTGGTAAACTTTCTAATTTCTCTTCTCTTAAATATATCTTACACTTTAGCATAACCCCCAACTTTCCATATACCGACAACGTTTGTAGCTAGGGATGGTGATTTGCCCCGACCCGGTGGGGAACCCGGTTCACCCGACCCGGACGGGGACGGGGATTCCCCGTTAAAACGGGTACCGGGTCCGNGGGGACGGGGATTCCCCGTTAAAACGGGTACCGGGTCCGGGTCCGGGGATCCCCGGTAGAGGCAAACCGGGGTTGGGGCCGGGGCCGGGTATTGTATCCCCCGACCCGCCCCGTACCTGGTATATGTATAAATAAGTAAATTTTTATTTGGGCTTTGGGCTTTCACCTTTGCTTTGGGCTTTCACCTTTAATTTAGTTACTCAGTGTCGTTGAGTCGCACACAAGAAGTCAACTTAGTCAAGAACTCCTATTCCAGTACCAATAGATCTGAGACGCAGACGCAGACGCCCTTCTTGAACCTAAGAACCTTGACCTATTGTTGCCGTCTTCTGCCGAGTGCTACTGCCGACTTGGCGACTTCAGCCGTATTACCGTCAGTCCAGGTCACAACCATCGTCCTCGTCAATCGACCAACACGAACACCGGAACACGACAGACCAAACAATCGAGTGATCGATCGACCCTCACCAGTCACTAATCGACCTCGTCAATCAACCCTCACCACTACTTCAATCTCGTCGTGTGAGCCACCAGTCAGTCACTCTCGTCTTCTTCATCAATCCGGTGAGTAGCCGGTGAGCAGCAAGTGNACCCTCACCACTACTTCAATCTCGTCGTGTGAGCCACCAGTCAGTCACTCTCGTCTTCTTCATCAATCCGGTGAGTAGCCGGTGAGCAGCAAGTGACTGAAGTGAGCCACCATTAATTTGACCGGGTGTTGACCGGGGATTGACCGGGGGTTGACCGAAAATTGACCGGGGCCAAGAAGAAAATCCCCGTATCCGCCGGGTACCGGGGCCGGGGACGGGGACTGTGTACATAAACCGGGGCCGGGGCCGGGGATTGCAAACCCCGCCCCATCCCCGCCCCGTTGCCATCCCTATTTGTAGCTTCCTCTTCATTAGATTGTGGCTTTTTCTTCTCTTATATGTAAAATTTTTAACTCATCTTGCAATATAGGTTAAGTCACTACTCCCCAATGAAAGTCTCCATCACTATTGTTACGCGAGGCCAAACAATCTCCGATGAAAAACTTTAAATGAGAGAGATATAAGCAAATGATGGATATCATGGACCACTTTTTTGTTGAAATGTTTAATAATATGAAATAAAGATGCCAAAAAGAGTTAGAGGCTATTAGGAAGCCGTATTCCTTCAAGATTTTGAAAGTAGTTTAAACTCTTTTTCTTCTATTTGTCGGTATATGGAAAGTTAGGGGTTATGCTAAAGTATAAAGATATATTTAAGAGAAAGAAAATTAGAAAGTTTACCAGGAAATATGGTTTGAGAAAACAATAATGGTTTATATATTTGAATAAAAGATAAAATTTGAAGACTCGTGAAATTTTTAATCAATATAAGTATCAAATTAACAATTTAAAAGTTATTGTTTTTTTTGTATAATTCTTTTAGTTCACATTTTTAGTATAATTTATTTTTGGTTTAATAACAAAGTAGTTTATTTTAAGTCTAATAATATAATGTTTTTTATAAAGATAATTTTTAGTTCAATATTTTTCTTATAATTTAATTTAGATTTAATAACGAATTAACTTATAGTAGGTTTAATAATATAATTTTTTATAAAGATAATAATTAAATATTCTTGTAGAACTTAATCATTATCCTAATTATATTTAGATTCTTTATATTTAAATTTATTATGTATTTGATTATGTTTTATCATTTAGTTATATGAATTCAAATATATAGATTTAAAAGTTGTACTTACGCATCGTTGAATTGCAATCTTAAATTTTAAGTAAGGGGTTGTTTGACAGTTGCTGAATGGTTTGGTGCTGAATGATTAAGTGATCAGAATGATTAAGAGGTTCTCATGTTATAGTGCAAAATGAAATATAATTGTTCGGTAATTATTTACAATGGAATTAGGGTGTTGAATGGTTAAGGGAGACTCATGATACAAAATCATTCAGAGGGTCTTGAAACCATTAAGAGACAGACTTTTTTTTTGTCAAACAAGATTCACATTTTAACGATTTAGACACTGGCTCCTAATGAAACTATTAAGAGGTAAACAAACAACCCTAATATGCATAATTAAACAATACTTGAAACATTAAAAATAGTTTATAAGAATTTTACTCAAATACTTTATAAT